GAGACTGCCCCCCCCCCCCCCCCCGGCACAGCTTAGAAACGGTTCATTTGGGGACTGGATGCTGCAGGGAAGGACTGAATTCACAGCAGACAAGAGGTGGTTGAACAAATCCTGAAAGGTTCCTGGGGCACAGGGAGGCAGAGGGCCCCGAACAATGAGCTCACAAGAACATAAGAAGAGCCCTGCTGGATCAGACCAGTGCGGGTCCACCTAGTCCAGAATCCTGTCTCACACAGTGGCCAGCCAGTTCCTCTGGAGGGCCAACATCAGGGCAGAGAAGCCGAGGCCTTCCCCTGATGTTTCCTCCTGGCTCTGGGATTCAGAGGCTTAGTGCCTCTGAACATGCAGGTTCTCTTCAGTTACCATGGCTAGTAGCCACTGACAGACCCACACTCTGAGGTCTTCTGCGGCGCAGCAGGATGGGGCTTCGAGCCCACAGAGACTGTTCCCTTGCATCAGAGCCCTGCTTTCAACCAATGGAGCAGCTAGCTGAGCTCATTCAGGTCACAAAAAGGCAGTTCAAAGGGCCAGCTTGGCTCTCATGTCTCCTGCAACATGGCAGCATAAAGTAATTAGATCTGCTACTGCAGCTACTGCTGCCCTGTTTCAAGAGAGCTCGGTGGTCTGTCTAGCTCAGCATTACCTGCTCTGACTGGCAGCCGCTCTGGGCCCTCTGGCGAGGAAAAGGTCCTCGCTGACACCTGCTACCTGAGAGCCTTCCTCTGGAGAGGCCGAGGACTGAACCGGAGACCTTTCTGCATGCCGGCCACTGAGCTACAGGGCCCGCTGGGATGAAGCTGGCTTATGTACTGGCTACCAATTTGTTCCCAGGTTCACTTCAAACCCTTGATGGCCTGAGGCCCAGATGCTGGAGGGAGGGACCTCTCTTGGGCTATAACCACGGGTATGCTGAGATGTGCTTGGAAGATTTTTGGTAGCTGATGCATGCCTGGTACTGCCTAAAGCATGAAAGTGTTCCGTCACATCTCCCCAACTGTAGGACAGCCTTGTAGTCTCCTCTGGCTGGTAGTCGCTCTCCAGGGTCTCGGGTAAAACAACGGTCTTTCCAGTTCCTGTTGACTTCGCAGCCTTTTTAACTGGAGACATTAAATACTGAACCTGGATCCTTTCTGCAGACAGAACATGTCTCCACTGATCCATGCCCCCTCCCTGTACATTTGAATCAGTTTTATACTGAGTTGGGTCATTTGTCCAGCCAGCTCAGGGGCCTCCTTTCGCAGTCCTTACCAATCCCCCTCCTACGTTTTCAGTAGGCTTTATCTTTGAATTGTTTTGGTTTGTTCAGGTGACTTGTGTGCAGTGTTCCCTCTAAGCTGAGTTAGTGTGAGCTAGCTCACAGTTTCTTAGCCTCCGGCTCATCCATTTTTGTCTTAGCTCAGGAAGGAGGGCTCCAGAGCAAACTAACGTATGGAGAAGCCAAATCGCTCGCTCACAACTTTAATGCACAAAGTAGAATTTTTGCTCCCAAGACTCCACAGCTTAGAGGGAGCACTGCTCGTGTGTTTGTACCTAGTTCAGTGGTACTCAATGCACCACTCGTGAAGAGCCCCATGGGTAATGACCTTCACCCAAAAGAGCCACATCCTTCACGCACTGGGCGTCACCACACCAAAGACACATACAAATACGATAATCAACATATGAACTATGGTCTTTTAAATTAAATTAAACAGCTAGATTTGATTGGAGTCTGGAAGCACCTTAAGAGTAGCACGTTAGTCTCTCAGGTACTACTGGGCTCAAACCCAGCTGCTCTGCTGCCCTCTAAAACTACCATTTTAATGAAGAGATTCCGCCTATCCCTGCTGAGCCGTCGCCAGCTCTTGGGTACCAGGAGGGAGGCAAAGGGCTTGCAAGTCACACCCGGAGTGCAATGGATGAGCCTCACCCTGGGAAAACCACCTTCGTGATCATGGTGTTTCCCCTGCCAGGTGGCACAGAGCAGTGCACAAGCGCTTTATTGGGCTGGAAGTTGAAAGGCAAATACCTGAGCAAGCGAGAAGTACCCTCCAAGGTTGGGGGTAGAACCTCTAATGGTTAGAGCCCCTCTCTGTGCTAAGTGGAAACTGCCTGTCAGACATCAGCCCCACCAGAGAACGGCCACGCCCACTCTCCTGAAATGTGGGGCAGGTGCCACATTGGAGGAATGGTGCTTGCGCGGAAGAGCCACACATGGCATGTCGAAGAGGTGCATGTGGCTCCTGAGCTGCTGAGTATCACTGATCTAGCCCAACACTTATTTGCCACAAGGAATCCAATTTTGCTTTAAAAAAAACCAAAACAGGTTGCTTACCAGTAACTGGTGATCTTCGAGTGGTCATCTGTGCATTCACACCAATGGGATCTAGTGCGCCTACGCTGGATCTGCTCCGGCAGATCCAGCGCAGGCGCACTAGATCCCATTGGTGTGAAGCACAGAGACCACGAAGAAGATCTTGAAGGATTGTTTGGGGTGGTGGAGAGGTTTCGTGACTGCCAGAAGAGCCAGCCAATCAGCACTCTGCACCACAGGAATAAACAGCTTTAAAAGGGGATTAGATAGATTCGTGGAGGAGAAGTCTGAGGGGAACCGCTACATTCAGAGGCACTAACCCTCTGAATCCCAGAGCCAGGAGGCAACATCAGGGGAAGGCCTTGGCCTCTATGCCCTGTCAGAGGAACTGGTTGGCCACTGTGTGAGACGGGATGCTGGACTAGATGGAGCACGGGTCTGATCCAGGAGGGCTCTTCTGATGTTTTTAACAGCCAACTTTGACTGGAAGTAGGAAGAGCTGACTGCTCCTGCGCAAAAAGTTCTGAGAAAGGTGGTACATTCTATTCCTCTAAAAAGGTGCATACCATCCAGGGAGCTCAAGCCTCATGCTATGTGCATTTGTGTGGCTAATCTCACCCCCACCCTGCATACCCCTAATTATTAAGTGGAAAACAAGCTTCCACTATGGCATAGGAAGTGGTGGAATGAGCCCCTGGGCCAGGGCAGACTAGCTAGCCGGCTCAAGGCAGCTACAGCAGGCAAGTGGGGGGGGGGGGGCTAGCTCAGATTCCTGGAGTTTACACATTGCATACTCGCCCCTGACCAATTTCTATACACTTCCTTCTTGAAGCTCAAGGAGGAAAGTAACTTCAGGAGGAACTCTTGGCCTGTGGCGTATCAGATAAGTATCCACAAGACCACAAGACGCCAGATTTCTCAAGATGACGGAAGACTGTATGGAAGACTGTATGGACCTGCTAGAGGAGGACTGGAGATGAAGAGGCGCACCCCTTGCTTCTCCCAAATAGAGGACCTGCGTCAGGAAGGGCCCTGCTGGATCAGATCAACAGTCCATTTGCTCCGGCATCCCGTTTTCCACAGTGGCTAATCAGATGCTTCTAGAAGGCCAACAAAAGCAGGGGCACAGAGCCCAAAGCCCCCCCCCCCAGCTGCTGTCCACTCTGCAACTGGAATTCAGAGGTACACTGCCTCTAAAACCCAGTGGCTCCATTTAGCCATCATGGCAAACAGCCATCGATGGGCCTATTCTCCACAAATCTGTCCAATCCTCTCTTTAAGGCAACATGACTTTTGACTTCTTCATGACTACTCATTGTGGCAGTGAGTTCCCCAAGGTGTATTAATCTGCAAGGAGGAAGAGGAGGAGATGTCCCAGAGCAGCGCACACCTGCTGGCTGAACCAGAACTACTTCCGGAGGAGCTTGAGGAAGGTTTCTATACATTGCCTGAGCTTCCCAAAACGGTAAATGGAGACGGTCTGTTAAAGGTGACACAAAGATAGAAAAACCCTTGCAGGATCTTTCTGGAACTTATTACTTGAAGCTACTGTTGACTTGAAGGTACTGCATTTTTTTTGGGGGGGGTGATCTTTTGATCTTGTCAAGGGGGAAGCCCACCCTAAACCAATGAAAGAATCATCCCACCCACCCCGCAAGGATCATTTATTCCTCCCATGTCAGCTTTGGCGGTGATGGTGCCAAAATCTAGCAGCACTTACCCTCCACACATTAAGAATTCACTCGAGGCCCGCCTGCCGACAGCTGCCAGAGGCATATCATCTAGAAAGTAAAAGCACAACCGTGTAACAGGTGTTAAGCGCCAGAAGAGACGACAGACAGCAAGCACGCCAGAGAACCAAGCGCCTCTGAGCTTAGCAGCGCGACTGAACAACCAGAATGCAGGGGAAGATTACAGCTTCAACTGAACAAGAGCTTCTCGGCGGGAAGCCAGCCAATCCAGCCTTCACTTCAGCCCAAGACTGTCATCAGGAGGATGCGGCAGCAAATACTGCTGTAAAGCAAACAATGCTGTGGGTGTGGCAACTTCCCCATGTTCCCTTGTGCATCCCAAATGGGATACAAGGCAGGGCTCCCTGCTGTGGAATGCAGCAGCTGGGATTCACGACCCAAAGGCAACAAGTGCGGACCAGGTGAAGTGCTCCCCGGGAGAAGAAAAGGGGCGTCTGCCTGGCCTCCCTGCCCACTGCAGCCCTCTGTGCCACTCTGGATGAGCCCACGAACCTTCAGAGTTAAACAGTTTCTGCACGGCTGGTGTTTAATTCAGGGGCAAGTGTCTTATTTCTTAATTTAAATATTAAACCACACACACACACACAGAAATCTTAATCCCAAAGATGACCCCCCCCCAATAGGGTTTAACCTTCTGAAATAACTGGACGGTCTCTGCAAGAAAGAGCTCTTTGAAGACCAAAAAGATAACCAAAATCTCCCAAAAAACAAAACCTCCCTACCCCCTCGCAGCAGACAAACTGCACCCTTGGACTAAATAATGATTTAATTTTTTTTTTTTTTGAAGAAGGAGGGGAAAAAAACCCAACTAGAATTTTCAAACTGGGAAGAGCAGCTAAGAGTTGCACTCACAAGCATCCAAGTCTTACATGATTGGTCGGGGGCGATGTTGTGCGGGACCAGGACAAAGTCGTCTGTGTCACAAGAGGAGTTCTTGCTACTGGTGCTGGCAGAATCTTTGGAGACCTGAAGGTAGTTTGGAGGCCCCAAGGGAGGCGAAGACAGGTTGTCTTCCTGGATGTGCTGCATATCTGGGAGTGACTGAAGAGGAGACGGCAGGTTCAGGAGGGTTGAGGAGATAAAGCTGTGCTGAAAGCGCGCTTGCATGCCTGCAAGGGTGCACCTGTAATACAACTTTTGGGCACACCCTACACCTTGCTGTGTCACCTGACCGGTCCATAAAACTCAAAAGCTTGCATCCTCTCGGTACTAATACCCAGAAGTTGGTTCTGGACAGAAATTGTTACTCTTATCTTTTTTTCTTCCTGGCTTCTGCCCCCTGCCCCTCCAAATAAAACCCACCACTGTTTCTACCCAAAAAAAGAGGAGCTGCTGCCTTGGAAGCGTATCGTCTGCAGAGAACACGCTCCAATATCTTTGCAGAGCAACTGACGTGGAGGTGGGGAAAGCACCCAATCCAGAGGGGAAGCAGCCTAACAAGTCACAGAAGACAACAAAACAACGTTGGCTCCAGGAGGAGGAGGAGGAGAGAGGAATCGACACAGCAGTCCCCGCTGCTCATCCCGGTGTGGCTCGTCCAAACAGAACTGCTGCTCAGTCCGATCATTAGAAATTGAGTGTGGGAGGAAGAAACCCTTTAGGAAACTGCTGGGCTCAGCAATGGCAGAAAGGGTGGTGTGGAGAACCCACCAATTTCCAAATCAAAAGAGCACTTACTGGGGGTGAAGCAAACCGGCACGAGGGAGAACTGCTACAGGAACTACCGGAAACAGAGCCGGTGTACGTCGGTACGGGCACAGGGCAAGCTGAGGAGAAAAGGGGGGGATGGAATAAGTACAAGGACAGGCTGGAGTTGAAATTTCAACACACTTTAACAAATGCTGCAGAGACTTCCTAAATGCCTGTGTTTCCACCCCCCCCCCCCCCCCCCGCAGTGTAAAACAGGCTCCCAGCAACTCTTAAACCCACAACCGCTGTGAGAACGGGCAACACAGGATCTGCACTGCAACCGACTTGTTGAGCATCTTTTAAGTCTTGGGGCAGAAGGGTCAAATTCTAATGAGAGACAGAGTTTGAACATAAAAAGAGCTCTGCTAGATCAGTCCATTGGTCGATCTAGTCCAGCATTCTGTCTCATGCAGTGGCCAGCCAGTTCCTCTGGAGGGCCAACGACAAGGCATAGAGGCCGAGGCCTTCCCCTGATGTTGCCTCCTGGCCCTGGGATTCAGAGGCTCGGTGCCTCTGAATGCAAAGGTCCCCCTCAGCCACCATGGCTAGTAGCCACTGACAGACTTCTCTTCTATGAGTTTGGGGGTTTAGTTTATCTAGAAGAACTCGCTGTTTCCTGAAAGAGGCGGGGGTGGGGAGACAAAGAAATAATTCCGGACTTACATTTTTTGACAGTCGAAACCTGATCGAGGAAGGGGTGGCCGAAGAACGCATCTGCAAGGCAGAAAATGCAAACCGCAAGATATATTAGCCTCCACGACTGCAGACGCAGCTGGGAGGCGAGGGACTGCTGCTCCCGCACAATCAATACCCTTCCCTTCACAGCCAGGACCTCAAAGAGCTTATGAAAGATTAAAGCCTTCCCCAGTACGTGTTGCTATTACCCTTGGAAAGGAAGCACCATCAATCACTTTAAAGATGCAGCCAACCAAAGCAATCAAAGACAGGTACTTAAGAGTCCCTCCTTTAAAAATAATATGTGTGTGTGTGTGTGTGTGTGTGTGTGTGTGTGACATTTCCACACTTTTATTCGCAGACCATTAGAAGCAGCAAGACTGTGATAAGGAACACAGAAGAGATGCGGTGGCATCTTCCCTGGCACTGCCACAAGCGTTAAAGAAACAAAAGCTACTGCTCTGCCACACTGTTCGACAGACATGGTTCGACAAACATGGTTACCTCGAGACTGGACTACTGTAACGCTCTATACATGGGGCTGCCCTTGTTGCAAATTTGGAACCTGCAGCTAGTGCAGAATGCAGCAGCCAGGCTTTTGATGGGCCTCCCGAGATGGGAGCACATCCAGCCTGTGCTGAGGACACTGCACTGGCTGCCAATAGCATACCAAATTTGCTTCAAGGTGGTGGTACTTACCTATAAAGCCCTATATGGCCAGGGTCCGACATACCCGAGGAACCGCTTTTCCCCATACATACCCCAGAGAACACTACGGTCGGGGTCTCAGAATCGTTTGACCCTCCCTGGTCCTAAGGAAGCCAGGCTCGCTATCACCAGGGCCAGGGCCTTCTCAGTGGCGGCTCCATACTGGTGGAATGAGCTCCCGAAGGAGATCAGGGCCCTGCGGGACCTTTCACAGCTCTGCAGGGCCTGCAAGACGGAGCTCTTCCACCAGGCCTTCAACTAGGAGCTGCCCCCACTATCACCACCAACTCTCGGTTTTGATGGCTGGCTTGTGCAAAGAACATCGAGAAACTGGAAAACGTACAAGTACGCCGCCTGTATAATCAGCGAAACATCGACAGCACTTATTATTACTATTATTGATACTGAATTGCTCTACAAGGATTTTATTGGATTTTAATTGTTATTTATATATTTGTAAAATGTTTTAATGAATGTAAGCCGCCCTGACCCTGCGAATACGGGGAGAGCGGGGTATAAGTTGAATAATAAATAAATTTAAAAATGGGATTCTTTACAAGCCCCCCTTCTTTGTAACAAGTTTTTAAAGTTAAACAGATCTCTCCCCTAAAGCTAGTGATGCTGATCTGACACAGCTGACCGAACACAGTTAAAAGAGAGCCAGGCAAGAAAAGACGAGTGCCCCAATCCAGAGCGCCGGGTATGCACCGTGTGGAGCTGAATGGAGACCGTCTGAGCCTGCTTCGGCAGGGAGGGCAGGGTAGAAATCAAATAAATACATAAATCTGCAGGTACAAAAGAACTGGTGCAAGGAACCCACTGGCATGGATGGGGAATCAAGGACCACAAGGGTAAGAAAGAAGTCTAATAAAGGGCGAGTATTAAAAACCTAGTTGAAACTTATAATATACAAAAATACATGTTATTTATTAGGAAGACAGTTAAAAACATACAAGGGCCCAATGAAAGCCTCGTAAAAAAGTAAAGGTGGCCTAAACACAAGCCCTACAGGGCAGAAACGCGTCAGGTCATGTGTATCGGCCCCTTGTGTTTAGGCCATCTTTACTTTCTTACCCTTGTGGTTCTTGATTCCAGTTTTTGGGTCAGGTTTGTTTCCCCCTCCCTGTGTCTTGCTGGCATGGATGGGGAAGCCACCGCAGCACTCCAGGCAAAGGGCTGTGCTTGTTAAAGCTCTCATCCCCCAAAGCAAGTCGCCAGCACGAGGCTGCGATCCAGCCAAGGCTGCTTTCTTGCGTGCTGATTTGTTGCTGCCTCTGGGGATGTGTTTTTGCATCCCCACAATTGCCTGTCTTCCCAACCAATGCTTTTTTTTTTTTTTTTAAAGAGCTGTTTTCTGTCACTTGCTTTTTTCGAAATGCACTTTGGATGTGTTCAAAAACATTTGTTTTATATCTAAGCTGCAATTGTTTTTGGTAAATATTATTTTTCCCCAACAGAATCCCTCCCCCCCGGGAAAAAAATTTTATGTCTTCAAAATATTTTCCCCACAAACTGTCTCAAGAACCAAACCCTGGCTGGGAGCATGGGATAGGAGTGATTAAAATTATTAAAATGAGATACGTATGCAGGACAGAAGTGTTCTTACCTGACCTGCTTTCCTCCTTCTAAAGACTCGGATGCCTAGAATATCGTAATAGAGAAAGAGGAAGAGTCCAGGAGCACCTTAAAGACTAACAGAAAGCTCCTCCCCTGCCACATATTCTGTTAGTCTTTAAGGTGCTCCTGGACTCTTGGCCTTTTCTACTGCTACAGACAGACTAACACGGCTACCCACCTTCATCTAGGATAACTGCGTGGGTGTGGAGGTTTTTTATTTATGGTGGTAGTGGGGGAGAGGAGAAGGGTGCCACCGAAAAATGAATAAAGCTGCCCTGTGCCTGCATAATCCCTGACCTGCTTAGCCCGGGCTAGCCCCACGGCTCTTCTGATCTCGGAAGCGAAGCGGGGTCGGCCCTGGCTAGTATTTGGATGGGAGACCTCCAAGCAATACCAGGGCTGTGACGCAGAAGCGGGAAATGGCAAGCCGCCTCTGAACGTCTCTGGGGTCGGCGTAAGCCAGCTGTGACTTGACGGCACCCTCCACCACAGGCATGCACAATACTGGACGGTCGCTCGACTAATCTATTTGGCAAGGATACCGAAAGGAGACCCTTTAGTAGCCGATAAAAGCACATCTAGAAGCAAAAGAGGGAAAAGAGACACACAGCCCCCCAAGGAAACAGAGGTTTCCTGTATCCACTGCCACACTCTAGCTTCTCAGTGCTGGCATGGGAGCACTGAACATGCCCACAGCTCAGCCCTTTGGACAGGGATGGGTGACTTCCCCCGGCTTTATGAAACCACATGCCAAATTCTTCTCCCAAGTAGGGCCTGGTCCCAGTCCAATGGCTGAGCAACTCCCACAGCTGTGCCCAAAGGACTCTGAACATAGGAAGGCAGGGGAAGAATTTGGCATGTGGTTTCATAAAGCCGGGGGAAGTCACCCACTGCCTGGGGAAAACACCAAGGACCAAAGAACAGGGGGGTGGAAAAGTTACAGCCTCCCCTGCATCACCCTTCACAACAACACCCCGTGTTTGTACACAGTCAGTGCTAATGTGCTCAGCAGGGAGGCTGGGAGCTCTGAGCAAACAGTCGCTAACAGAGTACACACACCGCAAGCTCAGCCGGTTCATGAGACTTTATATTCTCAGTGGATGAACAGACCTAGCACCAAGGATCAACAACTCTGACATTTGGGGGCAGAACACGGAGTTCTAGAACCCGGGAGGGTCAGTTCTCACCCCAGCCTGTTCTGCCTCCTAGGGTTAGAACACGCTGTGCTGCAGCTGAGCACAGAGTGCTAAAAGGGCAAAGATGAGCCCAGCAAACCTGGAGGCGCTGCTGCTTCAAGGGGCCCCGTAGCCTCCTCCCGAGTTATTGATTAATTCCCACTCCGCAATCGCCAGGAAGCGCTGCCGAATCCTCACACATATGCTCCTATCAAACCATCTTCAATAAGACACCAGGGAGGAAGAATGGGGTTTTTCGTTCCAGCTTCCCAAGTCATTTCAGATGTCCTCAGCTTGATCTATAACTTTTCCTCTCTTCCTAGATACATGAATTCTGTTCCCATTTTACAGGTAAAAAACTGAGGGCGAGAGAAACTTGGCTGAAGCCAGTCAGGAAGCACACGTGGGGGCAAGGGCTCTCCTTAAACTTTGCCCCGTTCAGTGAACCTGTCCTGCACCAATCTGCATGCTGACCTGACTCTTGAACAATACAGAGGATTCTGGGGCATCTTTGGGGGAAGCGTGTACGGTTCACACAGGAGCAACGGCTGCTCCGACTGAGCCTCATTACCACCCACCTGGGCAGACGCTGGAATATGGCCACTGCCTTGTGGCTGCCCATTGCAAGGGAAGACCAGCGGTAGCAAGGCAAGCTGTCTTCTCTGCCGTTATTGATTTGCTTTGAGAGGCTTCCAAGAAACCCCAGGATTTCCTGGAAGAAAGCTTGAAAACCTCTGCCCTGGAAAACCTCTCCAGGCCAACTAGAGAACAGCAGAAGAAGCTCACAGACCAACAGACTCTTAAGGACAAGCAAATGGCCACAAACAGGGAAGGAGCTCAAGACCAACACTGCTGCTGCTGCTGAAGAGCCTTTTGTGCCGTAGTTAACAGTGTTGGAATCGGACCAGGAAAAGCCCAGCTTCAAAACACCACCAGAGAGCCAATAAAGCTCACGGGGCAGCTATGGACGAGTTACAGACATTCTCGCTCTCGGGATAAAACGGGAAAGGAAACCCCCCCCCACGCATGCCAGCTGAAGCCTCCCTATCAAAAGGGGAGATTAAAAACTCAACAGCCAAAGCAAAACATGTCCAGGCTACTCGGGCCTCAGAAGGAAAGCAGCAAGTAACTATCTGTGCAAAATAAGGTCAGGGAAGATAACTTATTGCTGGAAAGCCATGCGATCCAACAGAAGCCAGAAAGATGAAGCTGGCCTCGCTCCTTCAAAGGGAAAGCCCAGAGGCCGTGGCTGGAGTGACGCAGCACTGAGGCAATGTGTTCATGGGAAGACTGCGTCCGGGTGCGACACTGCAGCATTTCCATCCACCCACCCCACTGCACCCTGCCCCCACGCACTGCAACCTGGTCTTGTGTCGGCTTTTTAAATCAGAGGTGCTAACGGGCAATCTGCCACCGGCAGGGCAAGACTCCGCTAGAAATGCCAATGGAAATCCAAGTATGTGGCAAGGGGAAAGGCAAAGGCACGGGTGGAATTTTTAAAATTAGATTACATGAAAAAGGGAAGCCGGAGAAACATTA